ACAGTAAAAACTTTCCATACATGTTTGATTTCGAAGTCTGGGGTGGTGACTCTTCCAGCATTTGTTTGAAGGATCTCACGCCTGCAGAGGAAAACCACAAAGTGGTGGAGTGACTCATGTATCTCTTAACCTTACATACTCTCAGACCATGTTTGTCTCACTTACACTTTTATATGTTTGTCTTTGGGAACAGTCTGCATGGCCATATCCTCCTGTCAGCCCCAACACATTCCACACCTCTTCCTCTCCATGTCCCATCCCTTCCTCTCCCTCGCTCCACATTCTCCGCTTAAGACCACATCTTCTAACCGTTAAAGTATCCATCCCTTGATACCACAGCTCCTCTCATGGTTCTATAATCTGCACCAGAGAACATAATCATTTCCTTACAAGCAATTCCTTCTTGTTGCTTTTTACTCTGGCCAAGGAGGTTATGTGTTTCTTTGTTTGTTGGTTTGCCAGCAGGATTACGCGGAAACTACCAGACAGATTTCCACGAAATGTAGTGGAGCGATGGCACATGGGCAAGAAAGAACTTATTCAATCTCAGAGTGTTAACAGGAGTTTCTTTTCATCACTTACTTTAACATTGCAAGGGTGTTGTTGACATCTTCAGTGATTTCCCAGAATGGGATGGAGCCTAATGAAAAAGAATCAGGCATATTTAGCCAAGTGTGTGCAGTTTAATGTGACTTGATTGAATTTAACAAGACTTTTAGGCCTTGGCAGAGGTACGTGCTCCACTGAGAGCCATTCTAGTTTCAACTGTCCTCATCACACCAATGCTTGTTAAAAATAGGTAACAGTTCCCTCAAGAGTTGATTTAAATGTCCCCTAGGAATTAAGTTTGGTCCTCCAGTCATATGTGTCAATGTGGTGACATATTTTGCAGTTTACAGCAGCCTGATGACGAAACACCTGCAGAAATCAGAATTCAGCCTGGATTACGTTCACACATTTCTTTAATTGAATGAAGCTCAGCATTCGTGTACTTCACCAGAGCTGCAGAGACGTGTTCGGAGAAGACGGGTGTGTAATGAAAGTGCTGGACTAAGTCTCCAGACACTAGAGTTCATATCGAGACTCCTGTTTGTGTTGAGGGTCAGGGACCAAAAGCCCTCTAGGTTAAAGAAATCCTTGTTATTTGGATTAATTCTAATAAATATATTTTTATCACATGTCACTGCAGGTTTTGTCTTTAGTGGTATAATGGTATTTATATACTACTAATATGCACTAAATACATATATGCCAAGTTGCGAAATGGTTGAATCCAAAATCAAAGGGTAAGATTAAAGGAGGATTGTAGGTTTTCTGTAGGTTGACATTTCTGTTCAATTCCACTAAACTTAATCTATACAGCAAATATGTGTCTGTCAAAACACGACTGGAAAAACAAATTAAGAGTAAATCTAAATATATGAGGGCAGAGCTGTTCACGTGTCAGGGGCCACGGAGATTAACGAAACTGTTTTCTTTTCTTTTCTCTTTTGGTCAAGTCAAGTCCATGTTGTCTTTTGTTGTCAGTCATCTATGGCAACAGCGTTTCTACCTTGGACATAAACACAATGACTTCAACCACCTAAAATACGACCTGGTGAAGGGATCATATGACGCAAACCAAACATCAATATGTCTCCAAGCAATGTCTTTGATTTCCAGTCAAGTATAATTACGATAAATTGACTGTGGAGAAAAAGAGAGAATGTTTGAGTAGTTTGAGTGACTTGTATAAAACATACTCACAACTTGCCCATGTTTGTCTTTCTCAAGGTCTTTTTTTGTGGATTTTCTCCTCCAATCTTCTCTGTTACTTTACACTGAATCCAATAATACAAAAGGAAAACTGAGGAGCTTAAAGATGTTCTCAGAAATATGCCTGTCTGTGCATTGAGTGATGGGACCAACCCCTTCTGCGGATATGTTGCTGTAGACTGTGTTGAGAGTTTTACCATAAAGACGTATTTTAACATCTCTGACTCGCAGTCGAAATGTTTCTATCACCACACGTTTCAGTGAGCAGGAGAAACTGTCTGCAAACCCCCGTCTGTGTGTGTTTTAACACGTCTGACACCACCTCAGTTGAAAATATTTCACACATACCGTGCATGCATCTGTAGAACAGTAATTAATCCAGCTTGCAGAGGATGAATATCGTCACAGGAAAAAAGAAAACACATTCCCGGCCTCAGCTGGGTTTTTTGTTGGAGTGTATTTGTTCAGTATATCCTGTACTATAATGTGTCTGTGGACCACTGAGACACTGTAATGCTTCCTGCTGCTCTTCTGGATCATCCTTCCTGTACCAAGAAGTAGCACTGGCCATGGACCGCACACAAAAACATTTAAGTTCTTCAAGTAATAAT